CATTTCTAAGGCTTTGCTCAAATCTCACTGTCTCAATCAACTTTGCCCAGACCACTCTATACAAAACTGCAGTCTACCTCCATTCCCATGTCCATATCCTATACTGACATCACGTTTCCCTACTCTACTTTTAATTTTTTAAACAATACTTATCATCTTCTAACTTATTATAAAATGTACTTATTTATTATCCCAATTATTTATTGTTTCTCTCTTCTGTGAGAATGTAAGCTCCATCAGGTCAGGGAATTTTTTCTGTTTTGTTTACTGGTGTATCTCAAGTGCCTAGGACAGTGTCTGGATTATGGTAAAAAGTCAATAAATATTTGTTAAATAAGTAAGGAAATTCATATGATAAATGCTAATTTTCATATGCAATAGAGGTTAGAAGAGAAGTAAATGAGCCAGGGGCTGGAAGTGGAAATCAGGAAGACCTCAAAGAAGACATAATTTTCATTTGAAATGAAGAAAGAATCAGAATTTGCCAGACAGAAAAAAATTAAAGAAAAGCATTCTAGTCACAAAGTAGTGCTTGTGTAAAAGCGAAGTGTTATAATGGGCATCCAGTCTCATCTTTCTGCCCTCAAGACTCCTTATCGCTTCTTCCCTCTCCTGGATCCTCCAATATTCAAACCAGCTTTACTTACTCTTCTTTTTCCTAGATTTGAAAAAGTACCCCCACTTTGTTCTAAACCCAGGCAACATGCCCATCTCTGATACCAAAACGTTTCTTATTCTGAGAATTAATATAAGATATTTCTCTACGAAGATGTCAGAGGACTACTTCTGGGAAGAACCCTTATATGGGTAACATGCTTCAGCAGAACCATTTCAAATCAGATGTTTCCTCCTCGCCTCAGTTTTCCTCATTTTAAATCCAGGTCTTTCCATATCTGCCTTCTATCTCCTTCTAACCTTGGGTGCAGATCTGCTTCCTATAAAAGATTATTGCTAAACTTTCTATCCAACTCAGATCCTTTTTTTCTGGAAGTTTTACTTTCCTTCTCCTTTAAATATTAACATAAAGTGCCATTCCTGAAGCTGCCCCCCCGCGTCTCTGGCCTCCCAACCCAACTCACAAATGAGTTGTCTAGAGAGTTTAACTAAACTTTCAGATATACATGGGAGGCTGGCCTCGAGGTAGAATATTGGAAGCCAATATCTTGCCCCTTCCTTTCTAGGAAAGTAAGATTTCATGTGACTCTGAAGACTTATTCTCAAGCTATAAATTGCTTCATTGCTCACTGATAACCTGCTGTTATTGACTTCCTGGATACTCTGCCTGGGAAATCAAAGTCACCATGACCAGGTCAAGAATTATTTCTCACTAAAAACTAGCACCGCCATGCTCTCTCAACTCCCCAGTTCACAATTCTCAGAGATTTTGACCACTCCCCTCACACCCCACTTACTATGGCAAAAAATACTGAGGGGTTTCTCCTTATTTTTTTTTGTCACTTTCTTTTATCACTTCTAATTATTATTGTAATTCAGTTTCTAGCACCAAGAGACATTGAATCAGTGTTGGAAGAAGCTTTAGGAACTATCTCCCCACCTAGTGGCCTCCATAATTTTGAATTTCATTGGATCATTATTTTAAATATGTCAGATATTCCCATCAGTTCATAAAGATAAAAGATCTTTTAATACCAACCCCCCCAAAAAGAAGTAAGGTTGAAATATCACAATAAAAGGAAACAGACTGCATCAAAGTGTATATAGTCCTTATGTTTCTTGTTTGGTTCAGAGCAGTGAAAACTTGGATCTTCTCACCAATAAAAAAATCCATGCCTTGGGCACCCCCTGCAAATGGGCATCAAGCCTCCACCTGACTGACAGTGCCAGAAGTTCCTTCCCCCTAAAGACAGTTCTTTCCATTGTTGAAATGTTTCAGTTTGATAAACCATTGACCTGAAATCTGAGTTTTCCCACTATTCTTAGTTTTGCTCTGTGAAAAATCCCTACTGCTCTAGTCCAGATTCATACTTTTAAATATTATTTTCATCATCATCATAGAAATTTCACTGTTTGCCAAATGAGTCCCTATATTTAGTCTTGACTCCTTTGTCTGCATTGTACACTCACTGGAATACACTTTATCCTAAGACAGTCTACAAATATCTAAACCATTTTCTAGCTCAAGTCCCCTCACTCTCTTTCCTTGACCATGTAAGGCGAGCACTGAACTGTCCCACCTCTAAATTCCCAGTAGTACTTCCTCACTTTTCCTCCAATTATATCCTGTCATGTACTGCAATTATTTTCCATGAATATGTCTCATTAGCTCTCTGTGAAATTTTTGAAATTAAAGAAATATCCTATTATACCCTACTTCCCAGAGTGCTTAGCACAATGCCTGATACATCGCAGTTCTCACAGCTAATGAAAAGCGTGATGATAGTTAAAATGACTTATATAGCTCTTTAGCTCACCAGTTACTCATCTCCTCCCAATGGTCTCCTGATATTACAGTCAGGGATCTTATAAAACTTACTGCATGTATAAATTAGCATTTGTTTTACTTCAGTCCTTTCCAATCATATTTTATTCCCTTTACTTCAAAAAGCCTCTTGAACAAATCCCTTGCATTCTATTTTCTAATTCCCACAATTGCACTATCCATAGCCCCCAATTATTTAGGCATAGAGCCAAATAGCTGGGGTTTAGGAGGGGGATGCAATTTTTGAGATCATTTTGTTCTATGTCGTCATTTTGCAAAAGAGAAAACTGGAATCCAGAAAGGGGAGATGACTTGTTCAAGGTCACACTAGTTAAAACATAGCCATTTTGCTAATTCTGAGCCCAGAATCTTTACTATAGCATTTGAAATATAGAATATCTGTGTCTGTTTGTTTTAATAGTTTTTGTGTTCTCAATGATGTGTCCTGTGGACCCTAATTGTTCTATAGTACTCCCTATTTCTGAATGCTCTAAGTTTCTTCCCAGTGCTCAGACTAGAAAAGAACACAAGGATAAAAATGCCTGAATAACAGTCCTTACCCAGAGTTTGATGTTGGGGAGGGCTCTGGCGGGCTTGACTTTGGCAGCCCAACCTCTGCTCAGAGTCTGGGTTTGGAAGAGATCTCTCTGCTCACTTCCTACCTCATTTACAGTGTTACATCCAGACCCTCTTGGGGCCTGGAAGAGTCAGAGTTTAGCACTTTGATGGAACCTGTGGGAGTAAGTCAAACCATGAAAGATTCCTCTCCCATGACCTCTGTTCTTGATAGGATCCTTATAGAGGCAGAAGTCCCTGGCCTTCAGAGCAGACCTCTGGAGGTTGCTAAAGTGCTCTCTCAGGAAGAGAACTGACATAGAAGAAGTTCATTAGCCAGTAGTCCTTCATCACCCACTATTTCACTACAATAATAACTACCAGCCCAAGTTGAGAGAGAACATCTCTCAGGGCAATGATTTTCTTCAGTAAAAATCAATAATTGGTGTGGGACCTCTAGATTCAAATAGGTTCCTGTGTTGTGTGACCTGAGGGAAATCATATACCCTCCAATTATGATAGGATCTTTCTAAAATGTGATTGGCCTTCTTGGACCCTAAAAGAGTGAGGACAGGGAGAGGCTGAGGACATAGATACTGTCAAGGCAGATCCCTAAATCTGCCTGTTGGCCATATCTACAGAAGTTTTATCTTCTCTTACACATGGGAGCTTCCTCTTTATTCTCCTGTTATGTTGCTCTGAAGAGAGCCCTGCCTCAGAATTTTGGATTTAAATCTCAGTTCTTCTTCCAGGCATTTATGTGACATTGGCCACCTGATTGAGTGTTTAATTTCCCATATTTCATATGAAGACACTGCTTTCCTCATATGAAATTAATAATGACCAAATGTGATAATGAAAGTGAAAAAATGTACTTGCAAATTATCCTGTGAAAGGATTTAAATATTTCTTTCACTTTCCCAGTCCCACCCACACCTTCAAGATTTTTCATCCAAATTTTTCCTTCTCTACTTCTTAATCTCTTCCTTGAGGATTTTTTTTTTAAACTGATTTGCAAGGGATATTTGATTTTTTGTTTGTTGTGGATAGAATTTTCACTAATAATTTTATTTACTTAATGACTATAGATTTATTCAGGTTTTCTAAATCTCCACAAGCCAATTATGGGCTCAATAACCATGACCTTTTTAATTAAATTTTCCACCCTTCTTTTTTCATTTTCAATCACTGCTTCTCTGTGAACTAGAATATGCTCTGTCCTTAAAAGATCTCTACTAATTCTGCTACCTCACCTCCAACTGGTGTGTGGGTAGATGCATAACAACTAACTTAACAGGCTTTCCCCTGACAAAGATTCTCTCCTTGACTAAACTCTAGCCAGGTTCCTCTGAGCCCACTTCCTGACTAAGCCTCAGTCTTGGCCTATAAAAACTACAGACCCTCAGCCCAACTGGTTTCACCATCCCCACCCATCACCCACACACATTAAAAGATTTGAACAAACACTAGTATAGTTTCTAACAGCTCAAGGCTGCATCCCAAGGATAATCCTAGCCCTGTCCCTTAATAAAGTGGCTTCTGAGAAAGCTAAAGGCTCCCAAAAGAATTCGCTGTTTGTTCTAACCAACATTAATAGGACCCTGATCACATTTTCATAGATCATTTACTAAAAAGGGTTTACAATTGTAGATTATTCCTTTATCGCTTTAAGATGTATATGTATATCCTACAACTCAGTAGTGGCTTTCTCAAAGGACCTGAAAGCTATTTCTTTAAAATGTAATCATCAGGAAGGGTAGGGCCTCTGTTTTCCATTCTCTGTAGGAGAATAGAATCTTAACTTAGATCATTTCCAGCTAGCACACACAGCTGGCCTAATTGCATTTACACTGACCAATCCTTTGTAATTTTTCACTCCCCTGACTCTACTGAGCCCCCTCTCGACCCACTCTCTGCTCCCTTATTGTTCCTTAAAACCCCGGTCACCCCTGTACAAACTGAAGTTGAGTTCAGCACATTCTGGACACTCTTCCTATTGCAATAAGTATATTACTGATTAAAATCTGTCCTTACTACTATAACTAGTGTCTGGCTTTGTCTTTGACACTCCCCTCCCTTTGAAAAAATTTGTAGCCAATGTCAATATGTAGCAGTTGCTGATTTGCATAGTGTAAGTACTTCCTCCATCTCCGATTTCAAGCTATCTGCTGACACAATTCCTGACAGTTTAACAATCAGCTCTCCAGAGCTGGTGTGAGTAGGTTCTGGCACGTGGCTGCCTATCTCTTTTACACCATCAGATGTCTTGAACCTGCAGCTCCGTTTGCTTCCTCAAAACTCACTAACCTCTCAACTCCTTACAATGTCTTTTACCTCTACCTATTTATAGTGAGAGTTTACTAGGTAAATTCAATGGTCTCTTCTCATTGCTCAATTTTCCTGTATTTCTCTGAAGCTTATCGCATTTCCTTCTTTGTTTCTTCTGCTGAAGAACCTTCTACTACTGACCCTTCTACTGAACCTTCCTGCTTCTGCTCCTTCTTGGCTTTTTCTTTGACTATCTCCCTTAGGGGATCTCTACTGCTAATGTTCTATCTCAATCTTTTAAGAGTTTGTTAAGTTTCTCTACAACCTAGTCACAATCTACCTTTCCAGACTAATAATCAACTACTCCCATGCAAATACTCCAAATTTGACTTAAAACATGTTACTTAAACTCCTACCTTCCACTGAAGTAAAAAGCTAGAAGAAGGGACACCCCTATCCTTACAACAAACAAACAAACAAACAAAAACACATAATCTAAAAGATTGGAACTTTTCTCAAACCAATCAGAGGGCTGAGGTTATAAGTTAACCCAACTAACTCAAAGAAAAGACAAGAGTGTCCAAGGAAAGATTGGATGTGAGAACTTGCTTATCTGGTACAGTTGCCAGACACTGGGAGCCATACAAGCAATAAGAATTAAGTTAAACTTTGTTACTGAATTGCTAAAGGCTCAGCCTGATTTAGCATGAACATGCACCCTCTGTAGGCACTGACTGAAAGAGGAATCACAGGACTATTCTCCACCGACCTCATTGGTGCTGGATTAGGGGCAGGGTAAAAGTACTGAAACAGTTTATGTAATGGTGTAGGACTGGGGAAAGGGAACTGCAGTTATTGTAGGAAAGACAACGCCCTACAGAGATTTTTCTTCTCTATCTCCTGGAACAAACGCACATATGTCTTAGGGTCAGGACTTTAGAAGTCTGTAGTTTGGGAAAGGGCAGAATAACTGAAAAGTCTCCATCCCTGAGACCCAGGACCCTAAAACTGAGACTGAATCAGAATAAAAGAAAACATCCTTCACTCAACTCCCACAGCCCAGCTAACAAGTGTTGGGTTACAAGCAAGAGCAGTCTACTGACAGGAGAGAATCAAGTACATGGAGAGAGACCTTCTCAGAAAATTACAAACACAGAAAGAAGAGGTGAAGCTGAGAATGGAGAAGACATTGACAAAAACCCTCTGGCAAACCAGTTACATCCACAAATACAAAGTAATAGAGGAATTTGCATTCTGTGGTGTACCTGGGGTAACCACAGAGCAATAAATAACGTACCCATCTCAACTCCTGACTAGCTTGACTCAAATCTACAAGTGTCATAGCAAAAGAAAAGGCATGCCCATTCCAAGGCATAAATATTATTTACCTCAGTGTCTACTGTCCTACAAAATATGTCTGACTTTCAACAAAGTTATAAGGTATACACATAAACAAGAAAAACACAAAATACTATCAAGAAACAAAGCAATCCACAGGACCAGATCCAGATATGACACACATGTTGGAATTATCAGACAGGGAACTTAAAATAACTATAATTAATAGGTTAAAGTTGTAGTGGAAAAGTTGAATGGTATGCATGATCAAATGCATACCATTTGGTAATATCAGAAGATATATAGAAACTATAAGAAAGCATCAATTGGGAATGCTAAAAATAAAAAAAAACTAGGTAACAGAGATGAAGAATATCTTCAATAACCTCATCAGTAGACTGTCACAGACAAAAATTAGTGAACATGAAGATAAATCAATAGAAATAATTATCCAAACTTAAACACAAGAATAAAAAGAATAAATAAAAGAGAATAGAACATCCAAGAGAAGTGGAATGATATAAAATGGAATAACATAAATGTAAGTGAAATCCAGATGGAGAAGAGAGTGAAAGAGCAGGAGAGAAGAAATATTTAGAGAGACTATATTGAGAATTTTCCAAAATTAATGACAGACTTCAACAAAAGATCCATGGAACTCAGAGAACATCAATTGGTGGCAAGACAGAGGGTGAAGCCTATTCATATCATATTCAAACTTCTGAAAAACAAAGACAAAGATAAAATATTGAAATCAGTCAGAAAAAAAAGGACTCATTAGTATAGTGCAAAAAAAGAAAGAATTACAATAAATTTCTCATCAGCAACCATGCAACCCAGAATATAGTGAAGTTACATTCTAAAGTAATAAAAGAAATAAAACTATCAAGCCAGAACACAAAAATCCAGTGAAAATATTTTTCAAAAATAAAGGATAAGGAAAGTAGTAGTCTTTTTGACAAGTGGTGCTGGGACAACTGGATATCCAAATGCAAAAGAATGAAGTTGGACCTCCTACCTCACGCCATAAAAAATATTTAACTCAACATGGATGGAAGACTTAAATGTAAGAGCTAAAAATATAAAACTCTTAGAAGAAAGCATATAAGTAAATCTTTATGACCTTGTGCTAGGCAAAGCCTTCTTAGATATGACACCAAAAGCATAAGCAACAAAAGAAAAAAAATAAATCAGACTTCATCAAAATTAGAATTATTTATGTTTCAAATGACACCAGGAAGAAAGTGAAATGACACCCACAGAATGGGAGGAAATATGTGAAAAACATATATCTGCTAAAGATCATGCATCTTGATTATATAAAGAACATTTACAACTAAATAATAAACAGATAAATAATCCAATTAAAAGTGGATTGGTGGTTACCAGAGGGGAAGGAGGGAGGGAGGAGGGCGAAAGGGATAATTCGGTACATGTGTGTGGTGATGGGTTGTAATTAGTATTTGGGTGGTGAACATGATGTAATCTACGCAGAAATAGAAGTATAATGATGTACACCTGAAATTTATACAATGTTATAAACCAATGTTACTGCAATAAACAAAAAATTTTAAAAAAAAGTGGGAAAAGGATCTGAATAGACATTTGTTATGGGTTGAATTGTGTCTACCCAAATTCATATGTTGAAGCTCTAACTCCCATAAACTGAGAATGTGACTGTATTCTGAGGTAGTTGCTTGTAAAGAGGAGATTAAGTTAAAATTCCCCTTGAGGCTTTTGGGGGGCCCTAATCCAATCTCACTGCTGTCTTTATGAGAAAAAGAAATTTGGACCCCGTGAAAGACACCAGAGATGCACAGCCGCAGAGAAGAGACCATGTGAAGCGACCATCTGCAAGTCAGAGAGAGAGGCCTCAGAAGAAACCGAGTCTGTGACCTCCTTGATCTTGTGTCAGAACTGAGACAATAAATTTATTTTGAGACACTCAGTCTCTGCTATTTTTTTATGGCAGCCCTAGCAAACTAATACAACATTTCTCCAAAGAAGATATTTGTAAATGACCAATAAGCACATGAAAAGTTACTCAACACAATTAGCTATCAGGGAAGTGAAAATCAAAACCACAATGAGATACCACCTCATATTCACTAAGATGACTGTGATCAAAAGACAGGTAATAAGTGCAGATAAGGATGCAACAAAATAAGAACCTTTGTACTGTTGATGAGAATGTAAAATGGTGCAGTCACTTTGCAAAGCAGTTTAGCAGTTTCTCAAAAGTTTAAACATATAGTCACCATATGATCCAGCAATTTTACTATAGCTATATCTACCCAAGAGAATGAAAACATATGTCCATACAAAAACAATGTACACCAAAGCATTGTTCATAATAATCAAAAAGTAGAAACAATCCAAATGTCCATTGAATAATGGATGGGTAAATAAAATATGGTATATCCATACAACTGAATATTATTTAGCATTGAATGTAAACATTTAACATAAGTATTGATGTACCTAGATTAAAATCCATGCTACAACATGGATGAGGTTTGAAAACACTATGCTAAATGAAAAAGCTAGTCAAAAGAACACATATTGTATGATTCCACTTACATGAAATGTCCAGAATAGGCAAATGCTTATGGGTAAGGGATTGAGAAAGGCTAGGCTGATGAAATATTCTAAAATTAGATTGTGATAATAGTTGCACAATGCTGTAAATATACTAAAAATCATTGAATTGCACAATTTAGTAGGTGAATTATATGCTATGTGAAGTATCTCATAATAAAGGAATTAAAAATTTTTAAAGAAGAGGAATAAATTTATTTTTAGGAAAAGATTGAAAGAAATTATTGTCAGTAGACATGTATTACAAATGTTAAAGAAAATTTTTCAGGCAGAAGAAAATGATACGAGATAGAAATTTCAAACTACACAAAGAAATGAAAAGTGCAAGAAATGGCATGAATGAAGGGAAATATAAAACGTATTTAATGTGTATTTATTTGCTCTAAAAATACCTGTCCATAACAAAAATAATAGCAATGACCGAGTAAAAAACAGTAAAAAATCTTTCCAACAACCGACAATTCCATGCTCAGGTACCTTCACTGGGAAATTCTACCAACATTTCCAGGATGAAATAATAACAATTAATAAACTTTGATCGTGTATGGAGGAGAAGGGAACACTTCCCAGCTCATTACATGAAGCCCGCATTCCCCAGATACTAAAATCTAATAAAGACATTACGAGGGGAAAAAAACACTATAGTCCAATATTCCTCATAAGCAGAGACATAAAATTCCTCAACAAAATATTAGCAAATCAAATTCAATAATAATAAAATAGATAATATATCAACCAATTGAGATTTATTTCAGGAATGTAAAGTTCATTCAATCTTTGAAAATCAGTCAATAAAATTCACCATATCAAAAGATTAAAGAAGAAAAATGTATGATCCTTTCAATAGATGTAGAAAAAGCCTTTGACAAAATCAACTTTCATTAATTAAAAACAAAAAAGTCCCAAACTAGTAATAGAAAGGAACTTCCTCATCTTGATAAAAGGCATCTACAAGAAGCCTACACTAACCCCCACTTAACAGTGAGAGACTGAATGCTTTCCCCTCAAGTTTTGGAACAAAGAAAAAAGTTCATTTTCACCACTTCTATTCAACATCATACCAGAGGACATCACTAGTGCAATAAGGGAGGAAATGAAATCAAAAATAGATTAATTGGAAGGAAAAAATAAAATAAAACCATCTCTCTTCACAGATGACATGATGGTCTGTGTAGAAAGTCCCAAATAATCTCTTTTAAAAAGCTACTAGAATAATAAGTGAGTTAAACAAGTTGCAGATTGTATGACCAACATACAAAAATCAATTATATTTCTATATATTTTCACAAAACAATTGGAAACCGATTTTTTTTAAAGTAGCGTTTTCAACAGTAAAAAAAATATGTGCTTTACAAAACATGTACCTAATTTGTATTCCAAAAACCCTGATGAAACAAAAAGTGAATTAAATATGTGGAGATATACACTATGTTCATAAATTGGAAGACTCAATATTGTTGAGATATCAGTTCTCTCAAACTAATCTATAAAATCAAATCCCTTCATGATTTTTTTTTAGTAATTGAAATGTTGTTTCTAAAATTTACATGGAAAAACAAAGGAATGACAATAGTCAAAACAATTTTGAAAAAGAAGCAACTTGGAGAACTTGTACTACCTGATTCCAATAATTAGTATAAACTTACAGTTTATAATAGGACTAAATAGGACAGCATAGCTTTGCAAAAGACAAGAGTCTAAAAATGGACCCATATGCATATCGATTGATTTTCAACATAAAGGCAAAAGAAATTCGACAGAGAGATAGTCTTTTCAATAAATGATGCTGAATGATTGGATACTCATAAATGAAAATGAAGCTCATTCTGTACTTGAGTTAATAGTATTGTACCAATGTCAGTTTCCTGGTTTTGACAATAAACTATATCATGTAAGATATTATTATTGGGTAAAGCCACAAAGGTTACACAGAAACTCTCTGTACTGTTTTTGCAATTTCTGACAAACTTTTTCAAAATAAAATTTTGTGATAAATGAACCTTGAGATATACTTCACATTGCATAAAATTTAACTCAACGTGTATCATAGACATTTATAAAATACCTAGAAGAAAACAGTAAATCTTTATGATCTTGAGTTACACAAAATTTTGTTGGATAAAACACCAAAAGCATGACCCCAAAAAAATGATAATTTGAGCTTTATCTGATAATGATTAGATTATTATTAATAGATTATGTGTATGATAAATAGATTTTATATATAATTATTAATAAATGGTAATTTGGACTCTGTTCTTTGAAATACAACATTAAAAGAGTAAAATGACAAGCCTTAGATCAAGAGAAAATATTTGACAATCACATGTCTGATAAACTAGTTATGTCCAGAATATATTAGATTCTAAAAACCCAATAATTAGAAATAAAAGATTTAAATAGATGCTTCACCAAAGAAAGTGGTGACTAAGAACATGAAAAGATGCTCAATATCAATAGTTTTTTAGGGAAATGTAAATTAAAACCACAATGACATACCACTGCATATCTATTAAATTGTCTTCAAAAAAAAAAACCTGACCATTCCAAGCACTGATAAAGATATGGAGCAACTGAGTGTCTCATACATTGCTGGTCAGAATGCAAAATGGTGTATCTTCTTTGGAAAACCATCTGGCAGTTTATTATAAAGTTAAACGTACATTTATCACATGACTCAGCAATCCCTTTCCTGTATATATCCAAATGACATCAAAATTATGTTCACACGTAAATTTATATGTGAATGTTTATAGCAGCTTTATTCGTAGCCACCACAAACTGGAAACGACTCATGTGTTGCTCATCTGGGGAATTGATAAGGAAATTGTGGTAATCCATACAATTGAATACTACTCAGCAATAAGAAGGAATAAACCACTGAAACAAGCAACAATATGGATAAAGTCCAAATACATCATGCTGTGGGAAAGAAGCCAGATCCATTAATTCCATTGAGTATAATATTCAGACTATATTTATATGATATTCTGGAAAAGGCAAATATAGGAACTAGAAATGGATCAAAGGTTGCCAGGGGCTGAAAGTGGGGTAGATGCTGACTACAGAGGATCATGACCTAGAGGATTTTAGGGGTGATAGAATGATTCTATATCTTGATTATAGTGGTAGTTACACAACACTATGTGTTTGTCAAAACTTATAGATATTTACACTAAAAAGTGAATTTTCCTCTGTGTATGTGTATACATACCTTAATTTTAAAAAAGGAAAAAAAAGGAGAAGAAAAAAATTTAAAGCACACTACTCAATGCTCTCTAAACATAGTTCATAATTTTTTTGCCTCTGTGCCTTTGCTAATGATGTTTATTTTAATTAAAATGCTTTACTTTTTAATCTTTGTTATAAAAATTCTACCTTAGTACTTAATTAATTTCCTACTCTTTCTTGAGAATTTTCTGATTTCTCAGACCAGTAATGGTTCTGCTGGATTTTTTTTTCCTGATACTTGCATCTGCTCTGCTGATGAGAGTATAAATTGATACAATTTCTTTCAAAACTGTTTGGCAGTATCTACTAAAGATGAATGGATACATAACCAATGCCCAAAAAGCACACTCCTACATATATACCCAACTGAAATGAGAATATATATTCTTTGAAAAGCATGTATAATTATGTTCATAGTAGTGCTATTTATAGTAGCCAAAAATTGGAAATCACTAAAATGCTCATCAAGATAACGTTAAATTGTGGTATATTCACAAAATAGAATTCTATACAGCAATGAGAATGAAAGAGCTACAACTAAATAAGACAGTAGGGGTGAATCTCATAAACATAACATAGTGTGAAATAAATCAGAAGCAAAAAAGTGTATAATGTATGAATTAACTTATAATAAAATACCAAAACAGGTAAAATCAATCTATAGCGTTAGATGTCAGGTTACTAGTTATACTCGTGGGAGGAAGGGGAGTAGTCTGCTGAATGTAAGGAGCATGGGGAAGTTTTGGAGATGTTTCCAATTTTCTGTCTGAATGCTCATTATATAAAAGAGCTCGATCTGTGAGAATTCATTAAGTTGCATGCACATTTATGTTTTGTACAGTTCTCTGTATGCGTATTATACTTCAATATTTTTCTTAAATTGGTAGTCCACCATCTAGCTTGTACATTTTGTACTTTTTGCCTAGTTATAGGTTCTGCATAATAAAAGGGTTGTGGTGCCAAGAATGGTAGCTGGATCATGGTAGATAATTTACTTAAAAGGTAGTAGATTAAAAAAAAAGTCCGATAGAGGGTGTAAAACAAACTACGAAGCAGGCCAAAGAAAGTTGTATCTTTCCTTCTATAATTTCTTAATCCTTTTGCTTTCTGTTTTCTGTGGAAATTTGGATTCTGCTACAATAAAACTGAGTATGGAGAAGATGTAAGACAGAGGAGGAAGATGCTACCTTTCTCAGCATTAGGAAATAGAAAAGGATAATGTGAAAGCTTTCTGCTTTTCACATTC